TAAAATAAAATAAAATAAAATAAAATAAAATAAAATAAAATAAAATAAAATAAAAGAAAAGAAAAAAAGAAACAGCAGGATAAAAGCCCTGAAAGCTGAGCAGCAGTCCTGTAAGCTGGATGTGCAGCTGGAAGTGGGCGGGGCTTCTTCAGGTTTACAGGAAATAAAAGTTTCAGGAAGTAAACTCGCCTGTGGGACTTCTTTTGTTTTCGTCGCTAAAATAACTACAGAAAAGCTAAAAGTGTAAAAGACCAGATAGTATTAAAGCTATTTAAAGAAAAATCGTCAGCGAGCTAACGCTGCTTACAAAGTTTAAGGTAAGACTGAGTTAAAGAGATGTTTCACCTGAATATTGTGAAAAAAAAAAACTGCGAGTAAGTCCGTAGTTGTAACGGACAAAAAAAAATAATTAATTTGATTCAAGGTGTGTTTGACTTTAATAAGTTTGTTAGGAGCTGAAAAACATTAATATTCTCAGTAAAGTAAAGTTTAAAGTCTGCAAGCATCATTATCTCTGAACAGGCCTCAGTAAGCTTTTATTCAGAATAAACAYCGGCCTGTCTACAAGTGAGCTTTTATATGGACTTTATTAAGCTTTTTATTTCTTGTACAGTTATACACCTTTGATTTAACAACCACATGAACATTACTGACAACACCTATTGTTTTTTATCATCATAATAAGCTCATTATTAAGCTGCTAAACGTTCATATTAAAATTCAGACATGATCTTGATTTTACCTGCAGCTGTGTAGACATTCTTACTTTCACTTACATTCAGCCTTTTCTAACCATTTAATAGGGATGTGGATAAATTTTTAATCCTACACCAATATTAAACCTGACAGCGGATTCCAAAAGAACATTTCAAACCACACAAAAACACCAAAATCCTGTGATTATCTGAAGTATGAGGGAAGTTATTGATGTTTGTTTAGGTGAAATCAGCTCATGTTTTCTTGCTGCAGTTCACAGCAGAACCAATGGGGCCTTTGTGACCGTTTCACCTTGCTGTTTTCTAATTTTCTCATAACTTCCTCAGTGTTCAAGATATCGCCATGAAATTTTAGGAAAAGATTCCCATTCTGGTTTTGTAGGAAGCATCTTGTATCCTAAAAAACTAATAAAACTTCCATCCATCCATCCATTTTCTGTACACGCTTCTTCCTTTTCAGGGTCGCGTGGGTCACTGGTGCCCATATCCAGCAGTCACAGTGCGAGGGGCGGGGTACACCCTGGACAGGTCGCAAGTCCATCACACAAATTAACACAAACTATTAAATATTACGTTGTCCTCTGATTAATATTTAGACCTACAGAGTGTAAAAT